GGAGGCTGCTGGTTGGCCACACTTGCAGTCGGTGCAGGTGCAGATGGCGCAAGTGCTTGGGCTACCCTGGCACACCGTCATGTCGGCGGGGGCATCAGGTTTGGTGCAGGTGCAGTTGGTGTAGGTGCTTAGGTTACTTGGGCACGGCATGACGCAGGTAAACGTTGGTAGTGGTGGCTGAAAGGAAAATTACAAAATGAAAGAGTGGCGGCTATGGCTGTGTCCAACATTGTAGTGTGGTGAGCCAACAATCGACAACGTTGGTCTTCTGGGTTTGTTTACACGATATGGACTCCCGTCATTGTGTATTGATTATTCCGTTTGATTATTTTATTACTTGACATTACTATGGTAGAGTTTATCGAAACAGTTCAAACCGTCTGCAGTCAAATGGAAACACGTCCAGTTTGCCTTGCACTCACGAGTCGTAAATCGTTTGTGACAGCTGTAGCATATCCTCAAGAGCATTCAACCATTATTCCAACTTTGAATTAGCATTTCTTCGTTAAACGGTGCCATGGTTTCGACAGACCTGCTACACAAGGTACGGGTTCGGTATCTAGCAATGGAGTTGATGCCAATGGGATTTTTTGGGTCCATTTGTACGGAAATACATGGACCCAATTTGGCGCAAATGGATATCTAGATGTTTGTATACAGTCCATTATCCGTACGATTTGTCTGTCGTATCCGGATGTTCGACCATTTTACCTATTTGCCCGCGGAAGAAACGTATTACACAGTGCATAATGGATGATTTACCTGGAAAGCCAAGCCGTTGAGCAATAAAACGTTGACATGTTTAAATTATACAATTTGAAATGAAACTTTCTTTAGACGCACCCCAAAATTTGTACCTTTCGGAAGTATCTGAAAGGATACCGATGAGTAGTCGAGGCAGTTCCGATCTCAATCGGCATGGCACAATCGGATTTGGAATGAAACGATCGCTGTCACAAGAACAATGAATAATTCAAAACTTGGACTGAAAAGCAAAAAAGCC